CCAAACAGACCAAACATGTTTTTAAAGCCTTTAGCTTTATGCCAGTGCAGAAATCACAGGCCACATCTTCAGGTCCAGCATAGCAGTGATCAGCAGGAGCAGCTTGGAGTCCAGTCTTCTTCAGCTCCTCCACTAAATCTGCTAACATGGTGTTTTTCATAACAATAGGTGTCGGTGTGAAAGTCTGTCTGCACTGAGGGCAGCTGTAGATTTTCCTCTCCTCCTCTCCCTCCCAAAAGCCATTAATACACTTCATACAGTAGCTGTGTCCACAGGGAATAGTCACCGGATCGTTCAGAAGATCCAAACAGATCGAACAAGAGAAGGTTTCTTGGTCCAGCTGAACTCCTTTCTGCGCCATTTCCCTGTCTCAGTATCAGTGACTGTGTGAGTTTCACTTCCTTATAACTGAAACTAGTCTGAGTTCTTATCTAAACAACAGGAGTTTTTAAAGTGACTCATTCCTGTCAGCTCTTCTGCGTCACCACATGTTGTTTACAGCCATGTTCAAAGTGCAGACCTGAAGGGGAGGGAAGAATGAAATATATGGACAGACAGTAGGTGTTGAGTCAGAGCAGGAAAAGGAGGAAGGGTCATCCGGCTATGATTAAGTCCAAAAAGAGGAAAAATGTTTGATTAGTAGTTGTTACAACGGAGCTTGATTTGTATTTTAAACTGTTGTAGACGGCGTGTTTTAAAACCTCTTTTAAAATAATCTGTGCATGTGCTAAATTAATTTTATCTCATTCATTTCACCTATTCTTTATAAAGAGAGAACACAGTGAATAACTTGTCAAAACTGAGCTGAGAGCAAATATAGACCATACAGTTTTTACATTTTTATTTACAAAACAGGAAATTCCAAATGTTCAAGTTGCTTGTGACAGCGCATTCAAAGGAACTTTGCTTCAGTGACCATGCCCTTAGCACACAGTGGCTATTCGTAAGGGAGTGGTTGAAGAACATTGCAGCTGTTTTGTACTGTGTTGGTAAAATTATTTAGCACTAATTTAATAGCAGCAGCTATTGTGACAATTACACCCAGCTGTATTAGGAATTAAGTTAAAGAACTGTTCTGCTTTTTAGTTTAAGTCTTGCTAGTTTTGCCGTATTTGTGCCTTACTATTAGCAAATTTGCGAGCCATAAGCTATAAAGCAAACGTATTGTGTACACTGACCCCTTGTGGACATTGTGAAACATCGTTTCTGTAATTTCTGACAGTTTACTTCTTATAACATTTCTGACTCTCAAGCTGAGACTTATCTTATTCACTAACATGATCTTAGAAAAGGAATGTGTCTCTAAATGTCTCTTATAGGGATATGTGTTCAACTGTATTTAAAAAAATTCATTCAATGACATAATTGTTAACCATACTTTTGTAGTAAACCCATATTTTATTCATAATAGAACAAAGACAACATATCAAATGTTTAAACATACATTTGCTATTGAATTTAAAGGTAAGCAACACATTTTAAAAATTAGTAAGCAGGCAGCAAAAGGCAGGAAAAGTGAGTGGTACTTAAAAGAAACAGCTGGATGAACATCTTACAAATAAATTGGTTTAACTGTCTAATTAGTAACATGACTGAGTACAGAGGAGTATCTTAGAGAGGTATCTTCTCAGAAGTAAAAATGGGCAGAGGTTCACAAATCTGCAAAATAAAACTGTGACTGCAAATTGTGGAATCATTTTAGAATAATGTCCTTTAACATAAAATGTTGAGAACTTGGACATGATATCCTTTGGATTAATGAGGATCACTGGCTTGTTCTCAGCACACAGTTCAAAAACCTGCTTCTCTGATGGAATTTCCTATCGAACTGGCAGCTTCCGCATCCAGTTTCTAACTCAACAATGCTCCCATCAAGACGACGGGCTTTTCAGGGAAGGCCTTGCATCAGCTAGACAATATTAAACCACATCTATTCCAACAACATGGCTTTGTAGTAGTAGAGTCCAGGTGGTGAACTGGCCTGCCTGCAGACATGGCAAACGTTTCTTTCATCCACTGAAAATATTTTTACATATGATGAAGTGAAAAATACAAAAACGGAGAACCAGGACTATTCAACAGCTAGAATCTTTTATCAGATCTCCTATCAGAGAAAAGCAGCAGCTTCACAGTCGTGAACTGAGCAGACCAGAGCAAAAGAAGAC